GTAGTGGTGGTAGTGTGATGGTAATTGTGGTAGTGTGGTTAGTGCCTGGGTGGTAGTGGTAGTAAGTAGGGTAGTGGTGTAGGTGGTAGTGTGTAGATTGTGGGGTAGTGGTGGTGGTGGTGTGGTAGTGTGTGGTGGTGGAGGTGTGTAGTGTGTGGTGGTGGTAGTTTTAGGTGGTGGTAATGGTGGTAGTGTTGGTGGTAGTGGTGTAGTTTTTGGTATGTGGTGGTGGGGTGGTGGTAGTGTGGTAGTGGAGATAGTGGTGGTAGTAGTGTAGTGTATAGTGGTGAAGTGGTGGTGATGTGGTATGGTGGTAGTGTGTTAGTGGTGGTAGTGTGGGGGTATGGGGGATGGGGTGTAGTGTGGTATGAGGTAGTGTGTAGTGGTGGTAGTAGGTGATAGTGGGTGGTAGTGGTGTAGTGGTGGTAGTGGTAGTAGTGGGGTGATGGTGGTAGTGGTGTGTATGGAGGTATGGTTGTAGTGGTGTACTGGGAAGTGGTGGTGATGTGGTAGTGTGTAGTGGTAAAAGTAGAGGTGAAGTGGTGTGATTGGGGTAGTGGGTGGTAGTGGTGTAGTGGTGGTAGTGTTTGGTAGTGTGTAGTGGGGTGTTGGGGGTAATGGTGGTAGTGGAGGTAGTGGTGGTAGTGGTGGTAGTGGTGGTATTGGTAGGTGGATGGTGTAGTGGGTAGTAGTGGTGGTAGTGGGGTGGTGGGGTATGTGGTATGGTGGTAAGTGGAGGTAGTGGGGAGGGTGTAGTGGTAGTAGTGGTGGAAGTGGTGGTGATGGTGGTAGGGTGGTAGTGTGGTAGTGGGGTGATGGTGGTAGTGTGGTATGGAGTTATGGGTAGTGGGGTGGATAATGGTGGTAGTGGTGGTAGTGTGGGAGTGGTGGTAGTGGATTGGTAGTGGTGTGTGGGTAGTGGGTGATGGTGGTAGTGGTGTTGTGGTGTATGGGTAGGGGAGTGGTGGTGATGGTGGTATGGTGGTAGTGGTGGACTAGGGGGATGGTGTGTGGTTGGGAAGTGGTGGTAGGGTGGTAGTGGGGGATGGGGGTTGGTGGGGTGGGTTATGGGGTAAGGTGGAAGGGTGGGTGGTTTGGGGTGTGGGTGGGTGTGGGTGGGTGTAGTGTGGTAGTGGTGAAGGTGTAGTGTGGTAGTGAGGTATGTTGGTATGGTGTACTGGTGGAAGGGGGTGTTTATGGTATGGTGGTGGGTGGTTGTGGTAGTGGTGGGTATGGGGGTGTTGGTGTTGTGTGGAGTGGATTTGTGGTTGGGGGGTAGTGGTGGTGTTGGTGTTGTGGGGGTGTGGTGGTTGGGTGTGTGTGTTGGGGGTTGGGTGTATGGGGTTGGGGGGGTTGGTGGTATGGTGGGAGTGTGGTAGTGGTGGTAGTGTGGTAGTGGGTGGTACTGGTGTAGTGTGGTGATGATGTTGTGGTGGTAGTTGGGGGTGTGGGTGGTAAGGTGGTAGTGGTGGTTGGGGGGGTTTGTATTTGGTTAGTGGGGGTTTGGAGGTAGTGGTGTAATGTGGGGGTATATGTGGAAGTGGGGTGTGTTGGAGTGGGGTGGGGGGGTGGTATGGTGTTGTGGTGGTAGTGGGTATGGGTGTATGGTGTAGTGGAGTAGTGGTGGTAGTGGTGGTATGGTGGTGATGAAGGAAGTGGAGGAAGTTGTTGGTATTGGTGGTTATTGGAGGTAATCGGTAGGATTACTGGACCAACAGTCCCCGAAATGCAGTCCCACGGTCCACATATTGTCGCGAGGGCAGCAATGATGAGCTGTTCAAGGCGAAATGAAATACGGCAACACACCTTATGTCTCTCTGTTACAGTCTCTGCAGGCGGTCCATGCTGGACCAGGTCCGTTCAGTGGCTACCCAGGCGGTCCAGTCTGACCAGGATCCCGTTCAGTGGCTACCCAGGCGGCCAGCTGACAAGGTGGCGTTTCAGTGGATCAACCAGGACAGGCGGTCCAGGCCGGACCAAGTCCGTATTCATTGGTTTAGGCCAGGCGGTCCAGGCTGACCATGTTGCGGTCCAGTTTTAGCCAGGCGTCCCAGGCTGGACCAGTCCCGGTTCAGTTGGATGGAGGGGATGATGAGGGAGTAGATGGAGGGAGTTATGAGAAAGTGGAGAGAGTGGATGGAGAGAGTTGAGAGTGATGAGAGAGTGAAGCGAGAAGTAATATGGGGAGGGTAAGTGGAGGGAGTGATGAAGAGTGAGAGAGTGATGGAGAGAGTGGAGAGAGTGATGGAGAGAGTGGAGGGAGTGATGGAGAGAGTGGAGAGAGTGATGGAGAGAGTGGAGAGAGTGATGGAGAGAGTGGAGAGAGTGATGGAGAGAGTGGAGAGAGTGATGGAGAAGTGAGGAGAGTGATGAGAGAGTGGAAAAGTGATGGAAGGAGTGGAGGAGGATGGGAAGATGTATTGTATGAGAGAGGGGAGAGAGTGTGGAGGAGAGTGGAGAGAGTGATTGGAGAGAGTGGAGAAGGATGGAGTGAGTGGAGGGAGTGATGGAGAATGGAGAGAGTGATGGAGAGAGTGGGGGAGGGGTGATGGAGAGGTGGAGGAGTGAGGGAGAGAGTGGAGGAGGAGGGAGAGGGGGGGAGTGGGAGGATGAGGAAGAGGGAAAAGGGAGGGGTAAGAGAGTATGGAGGAGTGGAGAGAGTGATGGAGAGAGTGGAGGGGGGTGATGGAGAGGGGGAGGAAGATGGAGAGAGGGGGGAGGAAGTGGGAGAGAGTGGAGAGAGTGAGGGAGAGTGGAGGGAGGATGGAGAGAGTGGAGGATGATGGAGAGAGTGGAGGATGAGGAGAGAGGGAAGGTGATGGGAGGTGGAGAGAGTGAGGGAGAGAGTGGAGGATGTGGAGAGGGAGGAGGGGGGGTGAGAGGGGGATGGAGAGAGGGGGATGATGGAGAGGTGGAGAGAGTGTGGAGAGAGTGGAGGGTGGATGGGAGAGGGGGGAAGTGGGAGTGATGGAGAGAGTGGAGGTGGGGAGGAGAGAGAGTGGAGGGAGTGATGGGAGGGTGGAGAGATTGATGGAGGAGGGAGAGAGTGATGGGATGGGGGAGTGGGAGAGAGGGGTGGAGAGAGTGGAGGGAGTGTGGAGGAGAGGGAGGGAGGATTTGATGGAGGAGGGGGAGGAGTGGGGAGAGTGAGGGGGTGATGGAGAGAGTGGAGAGAGTGATGGGAGAGAGTGGGGGTGTGGGATGGAGAGATGGGGAAGGTGGAGAGAGTGATGGAGGAGTGGAGAGAGTGATGGAGAGATTGGAGTGGGAAGTGATGGGAGAGTGGGGAGGAGTGTTTGGGAGAGTGGGGAGAGTGATGGGAGAGTGGAGTGGTGGAGGAGTGGAGGAGGTGAGGAGAGAGTGGAGAGTGATGGGAGGTGGAAGAGTGATGGGAGGTGGAGAGAGTGATGGAGAGAGTGGATGGGAGTGATGGGGGGAGGGAGAGAGTGGAGGGAGTGATGGAGAGAGTGGAGGGAGTGATGGGGATGGGGGGGGGGGGGGGTTTGGGG